TCGCAGTTGACGAGTAGTCTTGCTGGCAAAAGTAGCTCAGTATCCTCATTCGACTGTGCTGTCCTTTGCGCAGAGATCGCTGCATTGGCTGCTTGGGGAACTTCCTCGTTTGAAGTCCTTGACGCTGTATACACCGTCATGCTCGGCGTCTCCATTAGCATTGCCTTCCTATGGTCTCTCTTCTTCGAACCAGCGAGCCACCGCTTCGACGTTCGTCTCACCCAGTCAGCCATGAGAAATGAGTACTACAAATCTCGCAATGCCATGGCATACTACGGCCCTGCTGTTGTAAATGCTGACGGCGAAATCGATATTGCTGCGGCTGCACAGCAGGCGCAGGCATATTTAAACTGCACGCCGTGCTAGGCCAAAGACGTTGCGTGCATGGAAGCCTTCTGGCTGATGCGGCGTTGCCAGAATAGTTGTCTGTTTTGTAATGCCTTTGTGGTGACGAGCAGAGTGCAGATACGCACTCCGGTCTGATCCACGTCCCATCAGTTCAAAAAGAATGCTTGCGAGTCTAAGCATATGGGGAACTAAGGATGAAGGCGCTTTCATCCACAGCGCCAGCAACAGGACGATTTCTAGCTTTAGGACACCAGAAGGAGCATACAGCTGTTCCTTGCTACAGCCCGCACATCTTTCTCGTAAACAGCCGTTTCATCCTCACATATTTATTTGCCACTACATCAATGTCTGACGAATAAACGGGATTTCTTGTTCGTGCGCTCTAGCCTCTAACAGCAGTCGTTATATCTGCGTTTAACCGAAATTACATTGGAAGAAAACGAGCACCTCGTTATGCTCGGTGAAGCTTCATATACAATTTTTCTATTCCCATCCTTGAACATGCCCCGGTTCATCATGCGTTGAACTGCATAGCTCTACAGCAGAAATGATTTCAAGATTTATCCCCTTGAGACCGAGTATCAGGAGTACGCTGGGAACCGTGACCTGTGCATTGTTGTGCTTTAGCAGCATCAAAGTCCTGGCAGTTAGAGATAAATAGAAGAAAAGAGTGTCGGTCTGAAGCCTTAAAGCCCACATAAAGAGAATATGCTGTAGATATCCTATTAAAGCAACTGTTCCAAATGTATAAACGCCAGATCCCCACGGTAGTGCAGGTGCTCGGGTGCCGCATTAAGCGCTAGACTAGAGCTCAAGCCTAGTTCGATTTAAGCGAGTCAAAAACTGAAGTTTCTTTTTTCCAATGTCAGCAAAATTTTGCTAAAGTTGTGTTGACATTGGAAAAAAAACTTCAGTTTGCGATTTGAAAAAGGTGTAAAGGTTTTAAAGGTCAACATGTCTAAAACGGAGGCAAACGAAGCTTCATGCAGAATCTACTAGCGAGCGAAATTGCAACAACCTCGGTAGCAACACAGCATAGATGGTGCGATTGTTCTGCACTCTGGAACGCTGCTGAGGGGGTTTATACCGCTGTCCTGTAGGGTAGGGACAGTCCTATTCCCGTAGCATCACAATATTTTGGCGGCTGGATTAGCAGCAACCCAGACAAGCTTGAGCCTGTTCTGCGGCGGCAGCAATATCGATTTCGCCGTCAGCATTTACAACAGCAGGGCCGTAGTATGCCATGGCATTGCGAGATTTGTAGTACTCATTTCTCATGGCTGACTGGGTGAGACGAACGTCGAAGCGGTGGCTCGCTGGTTCGAAGAAGAGAGACCATAGGAAGGCAATGCTAATGGAGACGCCGAGCATGACGGTGTATACAGCGTCAAGGACTTCAAACGAGGAAGTTCCCCAAGCAGCCAATGCAGCGATCTCTGCGCAAAGGACAGCACAGTCGAATGAGGATACTGAGCTA